ATAAAATGTTTTTTTTCAGTTTCAAACCAAGCTCGACCAACTTCAACAGTTTTTCCTTTTTCTCTTTCTTCTTCATTTGTATCTAATGCCCATGATAAATACCAAGATTCACGAGATTTTTCTCGAGCTTCATTTTGATACTTTTCTAATGTTCGTTTATCAACTTGTCCAGTTAAAAACCTAATCAAAAAAATACAAACAAAAAAGAATCTTTCATTTTGTTTTGTTAATTAAATAAAATTTACATAAGTTGTCCACCGATAGTTGATTTTCCAGCATCGACATGTCCACAAAAAACAATATTAACAGGTTCTTTTTTTCTTACAATATCTCGTTTAACAAGAACACTTTTCTTTTCTTTTGGAAGTGTTGAACTAACAGCTGCATTTATTTTATTAACTGTTGTTGATGTTGGTGTTATCGTTGCTGTTGAATCATCCATCATTCCTATATATTTAAACAATAAAAATTTAAGAAAAAATAAATAGAATTTATTAAAAACGAACTTTCATTTTGATCATCAACAAATTCATCTCCTTCTATAGTTGGAATATTTTCTTGTATTAGTTGTTGACCATTTGATTCGATTTGATTTATGTTCGCATTCAATGTTTGAGTTAAATTTCCTTCAGTTTCATGTGGATGTCGATGAACAACAGGTGTTGATGGAGGAGTTTTAGGAATCGGTGGTGTTGGGGCATTTGTTGTTTTCGAACCAAATGAGAATCCTGTACCAAATGAAGGAATAAATTCCATAGCATTGACATTTAAACCAGAAAGTTTTGTTGTTGTTAATGACACTGATGGGTTTTCTTCTTCTTGTTGATCCCAATTAGCTGGTGGCTCGTCCATTTTTATTAATTCAAATTTTATTAAATCGAATCTATTTGAATAGAAAACAAAACAGTTCTATGTATTTGTGAAGACAAGAAATTGAAAAGTAACAATTAATATCATCACTCATCGAAATATTGTTAATGGTTAAAAGAAAACAACCAATGCCAGACGTCCTCTAGCATAATGTCTTCTTTTTTCTTTATATATATATATGTATCCAACAGAGGGCACAAACTCATTTTTGTTCATAATGCAACATGTCTATTGATGTTTTTTTGAGTAAAACAATTTTGTATTGTGAAGAAATCAATATTCAAATCAATCAGAAAAAAAAACTCAAAAAAAGTATCACACGAATAAACCTGATATGTTTATTCAAAGTTATATAGATCAATTTGAATCATTAGAAAATTTTATTTGGCGAAAATTCTTCATATTTTCCTAATTTATTCTCATTTATTATAAAAAAAAAGTATGTCAGAATTGATGAGAACATATCTATTGTCGATCTGTTTATTCCTAACAATAACTTTAAAAGTCAAAACTATTAAAAATGTTGTCTTTATCGATTTGGATTTGACAGTTCAAAATTTATCATCATGTTATCTTATCTGACACAGATCGATAGTGTCAGATTTTTAAATATAAACATAAATAGGTATGTTCTATAAGAAATGAACATATTAAAAAAGTGACCGATTATACGAGTAAATACTAGACGGATTTTCCATTAATTTGGAAAAGTTTTTCTGATTTATCTCGTAACAGCAAATAAGAAATGAAGATCTACTATGAGATAAACTTGAAATCAAAGTTTTTTTTCTATGATCGTCGATCTCTCACTAACATGATAAATTCGGCAGAATAATTTTTATGATTTGATTATAATTCAACGCATATATGAATAAAAAATTATTTTAATGGAATACCAATATCTCATCTATGATTAGTTAATGAGAAAATAATAAATTTTTCTTTGATTGATTGATAATCAAATGTAAGTATCTTGAAATTAGTATAGAAACAAAATTGATACTAAATGAAAGACTTCTTTTTTTGGTTTAAGCTCTGATTTATTGTAACACTCGTAAGCTCTTACAAAAAAAGAGTGAGAACAAAGAAACGAAAGAAGAAGAAAGAGACGGAAGGAACACTTAACAGAAATAATAGAAGTAACAAGGGAGCATAGAGGGTGAGTAGAGAGCAGGCATAGAACAGAGACAGAAAAAGTTATGGTGAATAAAACTGCTACAACAATGAATTCTGAACAAGATGCTGGAATGCTAAGAATGCTAAGAGTAGGAGTAGATGCTTACGGAGGCTGATTTATGAAATCCAGCCACGTAAGGAGCAATGAATGGTGTCTAGCTTTCAAGTTCTTGATCCGCCTCATGGTGAAAAAATGACCCATGCAGTCATTAGTCGTTTTTTGGTAATTATCCCAGAAAAATAAGTCATTCAGAAAAAAGGGAGGAGCCTAAGTCTGATGTGTATATATTTTTTAGTCTGTTAGATATGTAACGTTGGACGTACTTTTCAAGTGGTTCTTCGTGAATAAAAGATAGGAGTTCTTGTGCTCTAATAAATGGTGCACGGTGTATTATACGCATTGTTACTCTGAATTTGCGAGTTAGTGCTTCCTTTTGTGTTTGAAGAAGGAAGGGGTAGAAAGGAAATAACCAGGCAAAATGAGGAAAGGTGTAAGCGAAGAAACATCTTCTTAGTACTACTTTGGACAGTAATTTGCCACTTTTCACCCATTTCAATTTACATGGTGACTTATTAATGTTCTCTAAGCATCTATTTACCGTAGGCTTTAATGACAATTTACTAGTCCATGTAAATCCCAAGTATTTAAAGATGTTAACTATCTCTATCTTTTGGTTTAACATATATTAATATCAATCGGTGGGACTGTAAATTGAGAATGGAAAATCTGTGCTACTGTTTTACTTACATTAATTGGTTGTCTCCAGCTGAGTGAGTAGTTTGCTATTTGGTCACATATTTTACTACCTTCAATTTCTAAGTACTTAACTAGGGATGTGAAGGATTTTTTGAGTGGAGCTCTTATTATGACGCATAAGTCATCTGCAAATAGATGCCCTGAGTGGACTCCTAAATAGTTAATCGAGTCACTGTGATATACTATAAAGATGTAGGGACTTAAACTGCTTCCTTGAGGAAGGCCAACCTGTATTTTAAAAATGTCAGATTTCTTTTGACCAACGCAAACACATGCTGTGCGATCTTCTAGCCAACATTTAATCAGTTTTAGAAGACCCAATGGCATGCCTAACCTGAATAGTTTCATCAGGAGTCCTGTGTGCCAGACTAAATCGAATGCTTTTCCTAATCCACATAGAGTGCAAGCGTAGGAGCATTGGCAGCTAAGTTATTTTTCACTTCTTGGAGTATAGACAGTACTCTGGTTGGGAGAAGACAGTTAGATCTAAAACCAGATTGTTCATTAGGGATAAGATGGTTTCCTTCAGCCCATCTTAAGGACTTCTTACGATGACTTGTATCTGGTTTAATTGTTAGTCATATAATTGAATGAAAGAGAAAAAAGTCAGAGTCTAAAATGATGTTTGACTAATGGAAATAAACAAGAATTAACTATTGATTTTAGAGAGAAAGACAGAGAAACTTATTTGATTTTTTTAAAAGATTTTTAAATAATAAATTCTTTATTTGCAATTCTCGATAATTAATGATGATCAAAGTGCTATGATTTAATAAAAATACATGGGACCCCTCAAAAGTTTTTTCGTCGGGCTCCTTTGAAAAGCTATAATTTGAATGCAACTATTCTATCATAATGCTTAGACATATTTAGGATTAAGCACAAAACTTCAGACTCACAAATCTCGCTGTTCATTCTGTTTTTAGATTCATTTTCAGATACATTTCGAATTCTCATAGTAATACTGTTCAACAATATTTTTACGTCATTAGCAACTTGGGCTAACTGCGAGAAGTAAAGTCGTACGTGTCTAGCAGGAGAATGGTGAGATTCAATACATTCAAATCCTATATCAATCAATCCGTTTCGTCAATTTTAACAGACTAATTTCAGCACTATAGTTGTGCTCCATTCAGATCATTCCCACTTACTGTAGTCGGATAACAGTTTAATACTATTTCAGCAATGATTGACGATGATTCTGATTAAAAGATACGAAGAAATAGAAAACACTTTGACCATCATTTGGTCAGTGTTTATTTCGATTATTTTTATGTATGTAAAATTGCAGAAATTTTTGTGCTTGATGAGTGCGTTATCAGCCTATTAATGACTGAAAACAGTTTCATATTCGATTGGATTCTTATTGTATGAAAGGATTAGACGAAACAAATGTTCATCTTCCGTTCTACATTACCACTAGTCATAGGTGACCATGTTATCATAATGATAAAAATAGAATAGAGTAGTGGAATAATCGGAGCGTCAAAAACTCATTTACAAGCTCACAGGAATTATAGAAACAAGAGATAAAATAGACAAATCATATCAAAGTTTCTTCACGAAATCTAATTAGACCAAACACACATCAATAAAATATATTAAACGGAAGTCTCCTTGTCAATAGTTACCTTGTGTTAGTTTTCAAACTAACTCAACAGATTAATAGAAGACCGATCATTGAAGTTTCAACAATTTTCACTGTGAAAATATTAAACCACGAAGAAAGTTGAATATCACCGAAGTTTTAGCAAAAGATCACATCGAGTTATCTCCAAATCGAACATGCTCTGTAGATCCAATCTCGTGAAACAGTTTTCTGCTTTCAAAAATCAAATATCAACCTTTTTGAAATTGAATTTAACCTCAACAAAACAATATTATGTGTCTGAATACGAATATTTATCGACCTCACAAATGATTCTCTCAATAATTACTTTCCAGATCTTCTGTAATCGATTACATAAGTACATTGAGCGTAGTAAGCGATACTTCGAAAAACAATACTAGAAGCAAACTTTGAGTATTTCTCTAAAAGCCTGGCGCAAAAAATTTTAGAGTGCTCCTTGTATTCCTGATGAAAGTTTTAAAAAGGAAAAAGAATTTCGAAATATATTTTATTAGTTTTCTAATAGTCAAAACAAATGTTATTTATAAAAAAAGAACAAAAGAATAATTATCGGATAATAAACAAAACTTAAATAATAACGGTTGATAGATTATTTTCAGTTGAATAAATTGTTCGATTTTGAGTTGATTGTAATCTTAAAGGATGATCAATTTCATATTGTTGAAGAATTTTTTCTAATTTTTCTTTTTCACTAATTGATTCTTGTTGATATTTAATTGCTAAATAAGGTTTTTCTTTTAATTCTTGTTCATTTTCATGTAAAAATATTCGATTTAATAAATTAAAATCTTCTGTTATTGAATTTATTAAATTTTCTTGAAGACCAAATCGTTCTTTAGAAATTTTCGATCTTTGAAATTGTTTTTTTCTTTGTTCTTTAATTAAATATGGATTTTGTTTCAATTGACTAATTGTATCATCATTTGTTGTTATTAATAATGGATTTTTTTCTTTTAAATTTGGTTTACGATAACGACGACGATTATTTTTACAAATACGATTATTTTCATATTGTCTATTTTTATTCAATCGATATTTATCATAATGACTATGATCAATATCTTCTTTTAAATAACTAAAATATCTTTCAATAACTTTATCATGATGATCATTAAATGAAAGTGGTTTTATTATAGATTTTTCATAATTTTTTTTAATTTTAAATTCTTCTTGACAATTAATTAAATCTTTTCGAATAGATTTTGAATAATCAAGATTTTCTTCAATAATTCGACAAATTTTTAAATCATTTAAAGATAAACAACGACGGTATTTTATTTGTTGGGAATATAAAAGATTATGATGACAATTTGAACAATTTTCATATGCTAAACAAGTTAAACTAGTAGAAATTTTTCTGATCAAATTGTATTGATTTAAACATTTCTAGAGAGAAATTTTTTTTTCAATAAATAAAAAAATAAAATAAAATTGATACTTTATATATAAATTGATTATTTGTTTCGAAATCAGTATTTGAAGCAAGAATAACTCCACTATCAGATTTTTTTAATGCTGATCGTCTTAATTGAGATTCAACATTTGACGAATTTATTTTCGTAGACTATTCAAAATATATTTTTTTATTTAAATAATAAAAATCTAATATATTTTACTTTAAATCGAATAATTTGTAAAATAATCTTAGAAGCTCCATTAACAAGATGAATAGTTTGATCTCTGTTTGTAACTTGATGATTATTTATTTTAATAATTTGATCACCAACTTGCAATTGCCCTTGACGATCAGCGAGACTATTTTTCTCAACCTATTTAAGATTTATTTAAATGATAAAATTTTTCTAAAACATATATTACTTGTTCAATATAAACATTTATTGTTGATGTTGATGTTATACCATAACATAATGTTAAACCTAATCGTTCATTTGGATAATTACGATTAATAATAACTTCCTTTAAAAAAAATATTTTCATTGATCAAATCGATTTTTATTAATGCTTATGTTGGTTTCTTTCGTTTTTTGTAATTATTTAATCAATCAAATATATATATAAAACAAAACTCACTTTAATTATAATATCATTATTTATTGTTGGACAATAGTTATCAAATAATCGATTATCAACTGAACTATTTATTAACGATTCATAAGAAGCGTTTTTCGTCGTTTGAATATCTTTATTATATTTCAAGTTTGTTTCTCGACTAAAACAAATATATTTAATTCCAAAATCTTATTTCATATTAACGATTTCAATAATAAAATCTTTTCTTTCTCTGTTTGTTTATTCTTTATTAAAAATAAAAATAAATTTTTAATAGATTAATATTCGTTTGACTTAAATAAAATAATCAATTTGCTATTATTAATCAGTTATTTCAACTATTATAAATGAAAGAACAAAAAAGAATAGTAAATGTCGTGTTATGAAGAGAAAAAAAAAATCTAGATGAATCGATTTTTCCAAACATGTAAAATAAGTATGAGATCTATTCGTAATGTTTATTGAAATTCAAAGAAGAAAATAAATGTTAGTCAATAATGAACAAAATATTTTCCTTTATTTTTAAAATGTTTATTAACCTATTTATTGAAATAATTCTTATCTGTATATGAGACTAATTTTAAAGCTCGTGAAAGATTTATCTTTATTTATTCTTGATGAAATTTTTTATTAAATTAAATAAGAAAATAAAATGTTTTCATATGAAACTTCGATTGAAAATCTGTAATGAACTGAATCTTTAATAGTAGAGTTAATCAATAAGATCTAAATAAAATAAAACTACAAGTATATGTATTGGTTGATATAATCTATTAAAATGATATGTACTGATATCGTAACACATTGATTTGCTTGATAAACTACTTTATTTCAAAAGCTGTCTATTGAATATTCCATATCTATTCGATTTTATCTGTCAGTTGAATCAAAACTAATGATTATATATGAATCATATTTCGATAAAAATTTATTCATAGTTTTGTTTCTTTTTCTCTATTCAAATGAAGAGAATGATCTTTTGAAGGGCAACTTTAAGACTAATAATTATTGAAATAATTTATGTACTAAACGATGACATTGCTTTTTTTGTACAATCATAAGTAAAGAAGTGTACCCTTGATTTCAATATGAATCGTACTAAATAAACATTATTAAAAGTGATTTCATTTTATTATAGTTTCTAAAATTCTGTTCGTGATTGTTCAATAATTGATAGAAATAATGAAAATACAAGGTTTCATAGATTCATATTCGTTTTATTAAAAAAAGAAAAGTAATTTTGATGAAAAAAAATGTCGTTTGATTTGCTTGGCTTCTTATCAAGGTTAGGTTAATTGTTTGATGAAATAGTTCGATGTATATTAGAAGCTCTTATCTGTTATTCGTTAAAGACATATGTATACTTACCTGTTCTGTTGTTGAAGTGTGTCATTTAATGATCTTATATTAATATTATTTTGATTATTCAAGGTTATTGATGATGATTCATTTTTATTAATGATTTTATTGTTTAAACAAACACGATTGGCAATAGCTTCTTGCTAAACAATATCAAACAAAATAAAAGAAAATAAATGTTACCATCAACATAAATAATATGATTTATATATTGATAATTGAAACAGATAAATAAAACAAAGTCTTATCAATAAATTATATATGAAGCTGATCTTTTATGTTTTTCTGCATAAAAAGTATATCTGTTGATGATAGATCGAACGATATCAATTTTTAATTATAACTGAGAACATAATTTAATTGATTATATTATTTTAAATGATCAAAAATAATTTATTGTCAAGCGACATAATTTTCTCTTTTATTTGGATATTTTTCTGATTTTGAATTTTTGACAAAATTAAACAATAAATATACGTTTATATGTCAAATATTGATGGAAAAATTCAAAATGGACAAAAATTGATTCGATTTTATACTTGAAAGTTAAAAAGAAAACCTCTTAAAGCTTAGTAGTATCGATGTGTTATATAATTATCAATTCGCCTTGTATCTCAGAATATCATAGAAGTATTGTTTCTCTTTTTGACATGGTCATAAACATGAGATATTTTAGCATAATTACGTTATGTCTGAAGACACATACAGACATGTACGCATGTTTAAATCAACTGATTGAACTAAATTTGGTAATTACTAATTAACTTCGTTCAAGGTCATTCATTTCAAAAGTAGTTTAATTAACAAATAATTTCTAAGGGTTCAAACTCTGATAATTTTAATATAATTTGTTCATCTGAATAATCAAAATAAAACATTTCTTGTCGTGCATAATTGTTATTAATTCATTGAAAATGAAAAAACTATTGATTTTAATTTATCATAAAATAAATTGCTCATCTAGAAAAAAGTCTCATATTAATTATATTCAATGTATAAAGTTGCTGTTTTTTCTACGTTTAATACATTGTCTAAATAAAAGAGGTCATTAATCGTTTTCTATACTATAATTATAATTGATAACTATATGTTGAGTGTCGAGTTCTATGTTTTCGTCAAGAAAAAATTCCTGAAACTTACCCGTAAGTTGAACTTTTTCTTTTTCTTTTCTGATGAAAAGGTTTTTGAGCAACAAATAAGATAATTTAGTTTTGAACAACAATGACCACTAAGAAAACTCATATTGTCAATATTTCCTTGTTAATAACAATTAAAATGGATTTACTAGAAAATAAAATGGTGCTTAACAAATGACTTGATGATGTATTTGATATACGTATATATTTGTCGAAGACCGGCAACTGTAATATGCACAAACACTCAATGGGAAGAGAATGAGAGAAAACAGCTCCGCTTTTTTTTCTTCTCTGTTCTCATCATAAATCGACTAACAAGAAAAAAAGAAAGAAAAGCGGATCTATTGTATTTCGATATATAGAATAAGCTATATATTTGTTTGTATATTTCTAATGTTCTATATGATGTTTTGTTCTATTCATCATTGATCAAGAAAAATGCAGATCGTCATTGCTAGATTATACCTGTTCTTTTTCTATTATGTTGGTAGTCAAACAAGAGTATAGAATGACACATGACACATGACATATGCTATCCTCGAACATATTCTATGATTGAAGTTCCGAATGTTAGGGACACTAACAATATCATATATGATCTAAGAAAAAAAGAAATAACCTTCATCAATAATTAGTTACATATAGACTCATTCAAGACATTCATCTATTTATAATACTATGAATTTTTATTACACTAATAAAGATACTTTAGAATAGATTTCTTTGATATATTTTTTGTCATGAAATAGATCAAAAATTCTCTTTATTTGGCAACTCCCATATGAAACTGGTTGGTATATGAAATCTTTTCCTTGACTGTGGTATTAGAAAAGAAAACTTGTTTGACAATTTTCTATTAGACTTTGGAAAAGGCGTTTTTATATGATTTATTTGGTGTTTTTATTTATTAAATCGAAAACAAATAGATCAAAATTCGCATAGAAACGCATATTGATATTTGATATTGCACAACTAAATTATAAATGCTATCATAACGCGTCTCAAAAAAATGAGTGCAAATAACTCGTGTTGAATTTAATTCAAGAAAGAAAAAACAATAAATCTTATATTATTTCAATAATTTATTGATCTTTTTTCCTAGTCAAAAAGAAAACATTTTTAGCTTCGATTCTGCACAGAAGATAATACAATAAAAGAGAAATATTTTAGCTGCCAAAAATAAATAATACCAAGTGTATTGTATTATTATGTTAATCATAGTATAAATAGAAAAATATAGATCGACAATAATAAGTTTTATCCTAAGGATAACAGATTCGATCAACAAATAAATCAGTTAGGTGTTTTCCTTTTTATCATTACATTATTTTCATCTGCTTGATGTACTCAACAGGAAACTTTCTTCGTTTGATTATATCAAAGTCAGTCTAAACTGATTCAATGATTTCTCTTCTTGAATTTGTTAAAATCATTTAGTAACTAGCTAGAGATTATTGAACAGCGTATATTTTGAAGTAGTTCACTCATATATAAGAGTTGAATTTTCTTCTATTTGACATTTGACTCGCTAAATGGTCTACATTGATGGATAATAAGAACTCATAGGAAAAAAAATGATGGAGATCATCTCTAGAAATAAAACAAACGAATAATGCATAACATATCTATGAATTCCAAATTTAATCTTTTCATCAATTCAGCAAAAAACACCTATTCACACATCATATTTTCATACAAATTGAAATTTCTACAATGTAGAATTTTTTTTAAGCACCTTTGTATTCGTATGAAAATTTAGCTTTAAGTGTTGATAACTCTATCTGAAACTAAAATAACTTAAATGTACTCTTCTTCAAATGTAAATGCCTATTTTCAAGTTTCACTTATTGAATTCATAGTGCTGATGTTTTAACTATTGGTCATACGACAGAGTTTCAACGTATTTTAAAAGAACAATATTGTTGTTAAATAATTTATGTTTACTGTCAAAATCATAGATGCAAAAGTAAATCGAATTTATTCACTGATCGCCATTTCCATGTGAAAATTTTTGTATATTTGATAATTAAACATAAAGCAATGCCGTATTCTTTTAATTATGAACATGCGATAAACAGATCTTTCGATGAAGTATTAAGGACTATTTTAGATTATTCTCTGAATAATAAAAAATTGCATATAAGACAATGTGCAAAACATTTCCCCCATATATTCCTAATATGAAAAAGGTTAACTGTAGTTGAATTTTTAGATAAACTTGATTCACTTTTTTTGATGAATTTCTTATGTAAAATCATAAAACAATAAAGGAAACATAATTTTTGTATAAACATGTCTATTCTAACCATATAACAAGAATAAATAATAAAATATAAATAAATACCAAAAATATATTCATTTAATTAATATTAAACCTATTGTATTGCGCTTCTTTTGCAGTTTGTTTTTTCTTTTTTTATTAAATCGACTGGTGGTATTGTTGTCTCCAGCGAAATCAAATGTTTATAAAATTTTCTCATTTTCTTGTATTTTTATTTTAAGCAGAACAGAAATAAATAAAGTTCAACATACATTTCTGTAATCTCTTCAATTCAACGAACAAAACGGTTTGCATTAAAATATGACATAGAAATGATTCCACTGATTAGTTTTTATTTATAAAGAGAACCTTCGCAGCCACTGTTCAAAGCTACTTCTCACTGCTAGAAAAGCCAAAAATCATTTTTTTGCCCTCTTACTAACATTAATCGTCAAGGAACTATTTCAACTAGTAACAGATTCTTAATTGTAGTGAATTTTTAACCTACAGTAAGGTATCCTGGAGAATATCAAATCGTAGGCTTTGAACTTTGTCAATATACCTAATTACCATTACCATCACTGGGACTATGTACTAGTTTATAGTTCTACTGGTAAATGAAGAATGTCTAGAAAAAAGTATCTACTTGGATTACAAATTTCACGTTAATAGTCTATAATTCAGTTTTTTTCAGAATATCTTGTGAATTGACAGTGCAATACAACAGTCCTTTTATCGTTATGCACTATGTCATAAGCATATATTCCTTTTCTATGAGTCTAATTGACGTTTATGTATTAGTACAATATGAGATTGAAATTGTAATACTAGTCGGATTAATTCATTGGAAATTACAGTTGGCAATAGAAAGAAAATTATTCTGAACTTTTTCATGGGTAAAGTTAGTTTTAAACAGTGGCTGATCAAATACATGAATCCTGCGAAATTATTTTAGAAAAGGGACTTTGGTGAGACACTGTGTATAAGAATCGAACATGTATTGATGTCTGTGCTCTTTATTTTAACTTATCAGATTAAATGGATACAATGAAAAATTTTCAAGGTACAAAAATATTTGTAATGCTGGGATACAATTGAACATGAAGAAAATAATTGAGTTTGATTCAAACTCGTGTTATCTCAATGTCCGTGACCATATGGATTAAAATTTGAAGAATGACCAGGTTTATTACCAATACGTCCGTCACCATCAAGGTCCATCTGTGCGACTTGTTCGAATTGATTAATCAAGCCTCTTCCAGCGCCGAATTGATCAAAATGGGATGCTGAACCACCTGTTACATCATATGGATTATAATGTGAAGACCCATGTGAAGCACTGAAAGGATCATTGCTTGAGTGATAAGGTTGACCATGGTATTGATTATGGTTTGAAAAATTTGCTTGGCCATGTTGTTGATTATAATTTGATGAATAAGCAGGTTTGTTACCGATACGTCCATCACCATCGAAATCCGTGTGTGTCACATTTTCAAGTTGATTAACTAAACCTCCGCTTTCGTAACCATGTGATTGGGAGCCACCACCATGTCCACGACCTTCTAAAATAAAACAAAACTTTTATAAGCAATAAATATATGTTAATGCTGTTGTTACTTGAACCGATCACACCATCTCCATCCAAATCAACGCCCAACTTCTTTTCAATTTGTTTGCTAATGAAATCTATATAATAGAGATACCTATCAATTATTCCATACATAAACAACAAGATATCAGAGTATCTATAGAAATGTTTGCAAGCTTTAAAAATATATCAGCAACAATAAAAAAATCAGTCTCTTCGCAATAAATATTCTGATATAGTTCACTTTGTCGTAAAATCATTGGAATGACTATATGAATTAACATTGTTTGTCTTATTAAATGCTTGAATTGATCATATTGGTTAAATGTCATCATGCAAACATAAACTTACTCATCTTAATTGTTGTTGAAGTTTGTCGAACACAAACTAATAAGAAGAAAAGAAACTTAATAATGAAAAAAATGATGGCATGCACATTGTTAGCTATACATGTCTCGCTTGAATTAACGGCAAAAATTGAATGATAAACACATGGCTTTAGTATCAACGCAATACGTATTTTTCTTTCTTTCTTTCTTTCTTTCTTTTGAGTTTGCAGCATTTAGCAAGGTAAAGGTGATAAAAAAAAGTCCAATCAGATCACTGATTATAATTCATATTTCTTTTTTCTATGACTCTATTCAAGTAGGGCCTGACATTACCTTATTCGCTTTGCATACGTTACTATTGCTTGCTATTTAAAGAAACGTACGTCAAACATAGTTGAAGAAGAATATCTTGCTATGATTAGAATAGGATGCATGGATGATGATCAAGAAAAGTTAGCTGCAATTTAGAACTCATAATCACTCTAAACTAGAAATTTTTCATCTCGAACAGTCGAGTTCATTCCAAACTACTCTGTGCTGAATGTCTGGAATTTTCAATTGATAATAACGCTCATTTCATATTTTTATTACCTAAATAGAAGAAAACACTTGACTGTATTTTTGAGAATTTTGTCAGCTGCTAATCTAATGTAAACAGAAAAACATAGACATCTTGAAAAACCGAAAAGTTTTCAGTTCCATATAGGAACTGAACGCTGTGGCTCATCTTTTTTTCTTCTGCCCACAAGTGATTACCATGTGAAAATTAAGTGGTCTGTCAGTTGTGTTAATTACTGATTTCAAATAAGAAAACATTCACCTTATTAATTCTTGTGAAGAAATCATGTCTTTACCTAAGAAAGTCAACCAAAAAACTGCACAAATATTATTCTATATCATGTGTTATAACTTACTGAATGAAAAGTTTTGAAACATTTATTCACTTATTTGTAATATTAGTGTATATGAAACGCATCACAGTAAAATAGAAGTTGGTACTATCACAAGCCGCACGAGTCATATGAATTTCATAAACTAGTCTATCATGAAGCTACATTAATATATCTTTTTGAAAAGAATAATTTCTTCAATTGCTATAGAATAGGGATCAATTTTTCATCAGTTAAAAAGATTAAAATAGACCGTTCTGGTTCCAAGCCTGATCTAGCCAGCAAGAAAGTTGAATGATACTTATGAAATTTTTATCGTTCGATCGATAAACATATATATATAAATACTATTTTATGTTTCGAGTTCGATCACTGATAGTATTTTTGTCTTTTCTTCAAAAGAACAAAACAGATTCATTTCGTTAATATTTCATTTAACATCCATTGAGCTCACCTATAAAAATACAAAGTTCTACAGTTTCTTTACTGCAACAGTGTGAAATTAAATGAAGATGAGAACGACAAAAAGTGCTAAAATCGTAGTCAAATTATTTCTGTTTGTTTAGCCATTGAAATTATATTTAATCTATATCAACTTCAAAAACTAAACAGCTAGTAACCTATCTATTAATCGCTGCATTCAGAAGCACTAAATGGACAGATTAAACACACCGTCTATATCATTCAGCAGAAGTCAATATGTTACATAATGAAACAGAACACTTCTTCATTTGCATAGTAAGTCAATATATCACAAACTATGATTTCAGATCATTCCAATCAACCTAAGCAAAATGCGTTTAATTGGAAGAGACTGGAATCGCAAGCTCCATGAACGAGAATTGTATTCTACCAATAAAATAGAAACAGTGTTCCTCGTTGACACAAATTGCTTTACAAAACATATGGTTTAATTCTTCATATTTCACCGATGATTCAAGAATGAAAGACGAAATGAGCCAAAGGCACTTTCAGCCGACATACAAACATGAAAGTTTAAATTCAACCTTTCAACTATTTTGAAACATATTCTTTGATAGTAAATACTAATTTTAACTAGGACTGCAGTTAAGGATTGAAAATTAGTAAGAAAGTAATGAGACCTTGTCCAAATAGAAGAGAATATTGACTGGTATCTACGATAACTTGATAAGTATTGTTTCTCGATAACGAAAATTAAAGCCATGTCACCACTTGCTTGTCGTACTAAGAAAGATCAATGATATTGGGTTTATCAAAATAGGCCACTTTTCCTTGCTGTAACATAAGAATATGCTGCCTGTCAGCTATTGCATTGAATCGATGTGCATTTGTCAGTATGATACGATCATGAAGCTTGTCTGCGATGATCTCTTGAATCATCTTATCGGTCGCATGATTAACATTTGCAGTCGCTTCGTCAATCAGTAAAGTTTTGCTTCTCTTGAGAATGGCTCGTGCCACATATATCAATTGACATTCTCCAGCACTCAAAGTGTTACATGATTCAGGCACGAGCAAATTTAGTCCGTTTGGGTGATTATGCACTAAATGTATTACTTGCAGAACGCCCTCAAACGTCATAAGATATTGTTCATCCGATAATTGTTCAGAAGGATCAAGATTATATCGCAGAGTACCACTAAATAACACCGCTGCTTGTGGAATCATCCTTAGATGAGGCCAAAGATGATTCAGTGAAACATGACCAATATTAATATCATCGATGTAAATATTATCGGTGATTACCAATTGATTGACAAATCGAAAGAGTCTGTGAAGCTGTAAGATGATTTCCCAACTCTTAAAACACAATAAAAATTGTTGAGTAGCTAGTGATTTTAGCTCGTTTTCGTCGATATGTAGTCGAATTTAATATAGAATTGATTACATTTGCTTTATAGCTTGGACTCTAAGTTATCACACCTTCCGACTTAATAGTTTTCAAAGTCTTTTATAATGTTTGACTTCTAGCAATATTTGTTTTTTCTTTCAGATAAAAATTATAAATGAAAACATCGTATACTTGTTCATATTAACAAAAGATATTCCTTGAATGACTAGAACAAAGATCGAAGTTGATCTTATGTGCTTTTCTATATTCATGAGAGAGCCAGCGATATCTGTTCAGCCAATAACTCCAATTTTTTCTCCGGATTCAATACATAGATTAATATTTTTTTGTACAGGCTAAAGCTCTGGTCGATAACGAACGGTATAATCTTTGAATTCAATAGTACCACGAGAAGACCATTCACCTAGTGGTTAAATGAACACTTTGTTCTCACTTCTATGTCTATCATTTTCTGACGCAAGTCGACCATATTCATTAATCCGTTTAGCACTAGTCATGAAATTTTCTTCGTCGGCAGATTATCGTACACCACACTCAAAGAACACTGGCAAACTGATGCAATAGGCCATACTGAGTGCTGCCGCCGCTGGATTGATTCGATAATGCAACGCAACCGGTAGAATAGTGGCGACTACAGTAAGTACCAATGGCATAAGATTGAGATGTAAACCAAACCAGCGTCTAGCAGCATTGACAGTAAAACGGGCATGAGAGACAAAAAATCATCTGTAACGTTTAACTCACGAATAGTTATAAGTCCATCTAGTGAAGATGGAAAAAGTGCAAAGATCAGACTTCGCATTGCACTTTCGAATCGCTTGAGTTGACGGCTAGAATGTAAATACAACCGACGAAGTTATCAAAAAGAAGGTATGAGTGGAATGAGAATTAAAAGTACTCAAGGATTAATAATACCAATGATCAAAGGTTCTCATAGTCTTGAAAGTAGACCGTCATTGAGTTTTTCGATGACCAATGACGAGAAGATAGTCACTGGTGCTCGAAGCATGAAAAAAAAAACTCATGTAGTTAAAACTTCCACCAACGACAAATGTCGACTCATGAGTCAACTGCTACCGAATGTTACCAAAGGGATCAAACGAAGCAACGCAAATGAAATGTCCATGCTAAGAGCTCACAGACAACTCGTTCTGAAAATGTTTGAATATTCACGACGATGCATTTCGTGTTCTTGGTGTTCTATTGGTTTTCATTATTATTTTGCGATACTGACAGAATAGTCGACTGAATACTACTTGTACAAGTACTAATAAAAAAGTAGAGTATAACCGAATAACGTGGGTAAGCCGATGTTCCACTAAATGAGATCGAATAGTAAGAGAGATTCATGAGGTGCCTCTCATAAATTATGCACAAAACTACTCAGTTCTTCAAATTTGCTTGCATCATTTGCTATTAAATTGGTTGTTGGAGCAAACGTGGTGTTCTGAAGAGATGCCCTATTAATTATAAGCAAATGTTAATAGATAATGGATGATAATGTATAATACACGTCCATACGTAAACATGCATTTCGAAAGAAGACCAGTTGATGAATCATTACTTGCATAGTCGAACAAACGCCAAGAACAACAGCGGACATATAGCTGACATATACAGGTAGTACTGATTGGGTACTAATATAGTGGATGATTTCATGAAGAAGCAATGGCTGAACAATACGAACTGCCGTATACAAAAAAGAATTGAGCCGAGTAGCAAAAACAAAACGAAGCATGTGCCATCGAAAGATAACTTATCGAGGTCCTCGTCAATGAGTGTGCACCCATCGCCTACAGAGAGTCTAGGTTTGATCCACCATCAAAAGGTCACATGAGTCCACTTTGTCCACGATAGTTCAGCTCAATCCAAACGGCATGAATGTCGTTTTTCGCCTAAAATGTTTTTGTTTACAACATGTGTAAAACAATTTTCTGATGGTAATACTTCATCAAAACTTTGGAAAACATGGTTTCGGATTTTATCCTATCGAACACAACAGTTTCAGATAGTGCAAACAAGAAAAATCTACT